TCGAAGCTTTGATTCCAGAATAAGCTTAGGTTTAGATTCAGCTCTGACGTAAAGTTTCTGATTGATTTCATGCCTGTGTCGCAGTCCTGGATAAAGAGCAGATATGTACTTAGATTTAGTTGGAGATGCTAATCTTTTATTTAGCAGTATTGGTGAATTGGAATCAGTTTATTTCAGGTGGAAGTTCTTGATGAGAATGAATGGTGGAACAAGATTGAGCAGATGAAAACAGGAGGAGAACAAGAGATGGTAATAAGGCGTAATTTTAGCAGGGCAGATCAGCAAACACTATCTGATATGGCTTATCATATGGGACTTTACTTGTAAGTCTATCGTCTCGGAAACTTCTTTAAAGTGCATCTTGTCTCGCTTTCCTCATCATCTATGCTGTGTAATCAGATGCTTGAGCTATATTCCGTCTTCAAACTTATCTATAGACCATGCATTTTTTTGCTACTTTAGTTTTCACTTTTCATAGTGAGAGTTTGTCATGAATTTGTTCTGCTTTTTGGAAAGACAGCCATGCGTACAATAAAGGGAAGGCTCTTGTAGTTAGCAAAGTTCCTCTGCCAGATTATCGGGCGGATCTTGATGAACGGCATGGATCCACTCAGAAAGAGGTAATACCGTAATAGAAATGAACACTAGTAAGTAAATTTATACCCAGAGTTGGCTGCTAAAATGCTTAAGACGCTTTTCTTGTAGATTAAAATGTCCACAGAAACTGAGAAGAAACTTGGAAGTCTTTTGAAAACGACACAAGAATCAGGGTCTTCAAATGCATCTACTTCAGGATTTAATGATCAACAGGATCGTACAACAACTCTTGGCCTAAAAAGACCTGATTCTGCTTCCAAATTGTCAGATTCTCTTGAGAAAGAAAAATTCAGTGTTGCACTCAAGGAAAGGCAGGAAAAGCTTAAGGTACATATGGCTAAAGCAAACTGTATGCATTATAGGATATGTAGATTCTGGACATAACATCGATTTGTAACTGTTTCAACACAGGCAAGTGACAGTGTAAAAGCACTGCAAGCTTTCAGAGAAAAGCTACCTGCTTTTAAAATGAAAGAGGAGTTTCTTAACTCTGTTTCACAAAATCAGGTAATCTTTTAGTATGTTATTTGTTATGTGCCCCACCAGCTACTTTCTTTCTTCTCCAATAGTATTCTCAAGCTATTTCTTTGAGCAGTGTTGATCTTGCACTAATAGTTGTGCCCTGTGTTTATTTTTCAGGTATTGGTAGTTTCAGGAGAAACCGGGTGTGGTAAAACAACACAACTTCCTCAATTTATATTGGAAGAAGAGATATCATCCCTAAGAGGTGCTGATTGTAACATAATTTGCACACAACCTCGGCGTATATCTGCCATATCTGTTGCATCTCGTATATCTACTGAAAGGGGTGAATCCCTTGGTGAATCTGTGGGTTATCAGATTCGTCTAGAATCAAAGCGTTCTGATCAAACACGATTGCTATTTTGCACAACTGGTGTTTTACTCCGGCGGCTGGTGAGATATAATTATTCTATACTCATTCCTCATCACATTTTAGTTGAACTATGATATTTTATACTATGTAATTTTGAAATCCTGCTGTGTCGAATCAATTGTTGAAATGCAGATTGAGGATCCTAATTTAACTAGCATAAGCCATTTGCTTGTGGATGAAATTCACGAGAGAGGCATGAATGAAGATTTCCTACTAATCATACTACGCGATCTCCTTCCTCGACGCCC